TTTATATTTGTAACTGTATATACATGTTTTATACGCATTATCGGCTGACGAACTTATTATATACGTACATATATATTTTGAATTTCGACCACAGCTACATCACATTTGCCTGCATGTTTGATTGTAATCACGCATACGACTAGTTGCCCTTGGGAATGCAGCCTGTCAGGAGAATGCTCACATATGAATATTCTTGACTGCGAAATGTTTGAAATATGTTAGCTTTAGCTTATCGGTATGGCTAGCGATGCTATAATGTATAGAAATGTATGCTAGAGTGCATAGTTGATTGAAATCACGTATACGACTAGTTGCTGCTACAAGAGATTTGACAAATACAGATAAATATGCATATATGTACATATATATGTACTTACTTTTCGTCTTAGCTAATGTTCATTTGTTTTTGACTACTGCTGCTGCCAGACAAAAAAAAATATATATAAATATATATAGTGAATTCATATATGTATATGCATAAGTGATTTAAATATCACGCATGCGACCAGCCTCTCTTGAAAATACGAAATATACATATATTTATATGTATATATCTCCGTAAATGTGTATTTGTTTATGAAATAAGTCTTTAATTCGCGTTATCAGCTGGCGGCGTGTGGCTGCACAGTTTATGTCTATCAGGGATTTTTCACATTTGCGTATCTGCATATCACGCATACGACTAGTTGAGCCCAGGCATAGACAATCAGCAGGAGAATAGCCACATATATCTATATGGCTTAAGAGTCTTGGCACAGCTGCTATATATAGTATATGAATTGATTTGAAATCACTCATATGACCAGTTGCCCTTGGGGAAGCAGCTCGATTGCTGATAACGGTTGATGATAGCTAGCCCGATCTGCTGCAGAGCTGTTAGCCTTTTCACGGTTACTTAAAGGTGAGTTTAAATAGCCGCTTGGCATCTACGTCAGAGGCTTAATAGTTGAACCTCAGGCTAGTGGTGGTGCTGTGATGCAAATTCACGCAAAGCACAAACACTTGCGTCACAGCTCGCTGTTCAAAGTTCCAAACACAAAGGCAAATAGCTACAACTTTAGTAGAAATACAAAATTGATTGAGATCATATTTTATTTCATTGCTGGCAGGACACCAACTTGTATAAAAGTATAAATAGTTCAGAGATAATTACATAGTTAAAAATAATTGAGCTCTATAGAATGTATAGTCTAATAGCCTGGATTACAATAGATAATAATAGATAAGCTGAACGCCTTAGTTAAGTTCAGTTTGGTTTAATCTGTAATATTGTATTATATTAGCACTTTTGCTTAAAGATTTCATTGCAAATTGCAATTGCAATTGCTTTCTCTTAATTTCTAATTCTTAAATTTATGTATTCACATATACATATATGCATGTGTATATATAAAATATGTTTGTATGTACATCTCGACATGAGGTTCACGCGAATATATTTATTTTAATAGATTCCGTTTGACGACAAAACGCACCACACACACAAAATCAAACAAAACAAAAAAAGCAAAACAAGAAATATACAGACCGGGCCAGACTTGAGCATTTGGGTCAGTTTATAAATTAAAATCACGATTCTCAGATAATTGCGCTTTCATTTGTTGCAGCTATACCTAGATGGGCATGAGTTCAGCTGCCTAATAATTAACAGCAAATTAAGAAAGTAACTCAATTCCTTTATAATACATGTATCGTGTAGCATGAACTAACACACAAATGGGCATAAATTAAGTAGGCTGACTCGTGTAATGACAATAACAACTACAACTACAGATTGAAATGTTGAATAAACTTAGTTTACATGTCGAATCTATTTAGGACACTCGTAATAGTAGGACGACGACTCCGAAATACCCTTTTGAATTTAGCGAGCTTGAAATAATTATTATGTTTGTGATTTAAAAAAGAATCTGAAATTAATTATTATATACAGTCGAGTCTCAATAATTCGTACCCCGCTAAATTGAGAATCGCGATATATGGGAACAATTCTATCCCCTTGAAAGAAATTCGTTCTCAATAACTCTCGATAGTTTGAATATCTCTGTAAATCGAAAAAAAAAAACCTGATTCCCTTGCCATTACGAATTATCGGGATTCTACTGTATAATTAATTAATATATTAAATTTTCTATGTTCCATTTATTTTACTTTTACTATTTTATTATGCCAAAATATTGAGGTAATTATTTTTGATTCATATATTATATTTCCTTTTTTGTAGAAATTACAAAAGAATTAAAAAATTAATTTATTTTAAAGTGATTTTTCATAAATTCAGTTTTTTATATAGTATAAAATTTTATGTCAAATATACAAAGTACAAAGTAATGAAAGTTTTCGTTATGTAAGCCTTTCAAAAGTGGCAAATTTTTCACTGCAACGACCTTTATTCCAGAAGAGGATAGACAGAAATTAAAATGAATTTGCTAAAGGGTTAGATGAGCTGATTGCAAGATGTGAAGGCGGATAACATCAATAAACACTAACTAATGCATGCAAATTTGCAAAGTGAAACAAGACAATAAAATAAGCATAGCCACCAGGAAAAATGTATTAGGCAAAAAGGATCTTCGAATCATATATTATTTATAAATTATTTATCGACGAGGTTCAGTTAAAGATAAAATAAAATAAAATTAGAAACATTCAAGCACATATATATTTAAGAAAATAATAATATCAACACATCAATGTTTATCTTATGTAATACAATTGTTTTGAGCACCTATGTAATGCATTTCTCTGTTAATGAAGTTGTTTTTATGTAATGGCAAAAACCCCATTTGATTGTTGAGCTGATGGTTTCTGACATCCGTAGGGCATTCTATAAAAACATATAAAATATATTGTATTCATTTAAACAAACTCGGCAAATATACTTAAATTAACATTACACTGCATAACATTCTTACACTTAAGTAGGAGATAGGCGGCTGAGTGCAAACAAATTTAATGGGTGCACGTGCTGTAAATGAACCCAAGCTGGAAGTGATTAAATTACAGGTGCCTAAATCAAGCAGATCCGTTGGGTTAATATCCTCTTCAACATAAAACTATTTAAAGAACTATAAACATTGAATTAGCTAATGTTTTTAACATTTTGAATATTTCCATTGTTAATTAAGTGTTTGATTTTACGGTTGTTGTCGGAAATGTAATTAATTATATTGCATTATGTTTATATTAAATTATAAATAAAAAAAAAAAACTAATTTTGAGTGAGGTTTGGCTCTAATTTTATGTATATATATGTGTTGTTAAAGCACTATATCTGATTGTACAGTTTCTACACTTAATAAACCAAATTAAAAAAAAAAAAAAAAAAAAAAAAGATATAGATATATAGAGCAGGTAAATAATAAGTAAATCAAATATGTATATAATCATTCAATCTGATTTATGGAACAAGCGTCAGAGCCATGCTCTGCATCTTTTTCTTAGTATATATGTATGTGTGAGGTCATAAATATTTTTAGCGACAAAAGCATTGCATACCTTAGGGCAGTTATTGAATAAACATCTGATTTGATTTCATTAGCAATGTGCACACACACTGAAGAGATTTCTCTTTGTTTCACAAAGAACACGAATCAGATAAAAGAGACGAGAGTTGTCACGAGTACCAATGAACGAAGGTTGGTTTCCAGCCGGTCGAAATGGATACATAATCTCCTTTCGTCGCCAGATCAGACAGATCCACCCAGTACTTTGTACCATTAGAGGTGCGGTTTCGATGCTTTTGAATATCGTATAGCATCTCGATTTTTGAAATACTTATAAGTTCAGCGCCTATCCTATGACAATTGGGTAGAGCCGAGTACCAGGAGACCGCATTCGCTCCTTTAGCATAATATTCAGATCCGATTTGAGTGAACACCGGATCCGGATAGAAACTGCTCGGTATGCCAAACATATGCCTTATATGTACGGCTAATCCTGCAAAGAGATGTAATTATTAATATTGTTTTTTTTTTTTTTTTTTTTTTTTTGTCTATTTACATTATACCAAACATAAAATACAAAATACTAGCCATGTGTAAGAAAAAATGAAAAGAAATAGGCGGTATTTCTGATATCATCGTTATGTACTCTCAGTATGTTAGAGTATTTGGGAATCGTAAAATGCTGTCTCATTTCTGATTCTATTTTGTGTTAAATTCTGGTTCAGCAATTAATTGTTAAATAAATTCTGTTAAACAGAAGAAATTGTTAAGGGATAAATTCCAAGCAGACTGGACTCAGCTGAAGCACTATAAATATTCCTGACTAATCTGGATGTTGTATTTGGGTAAACTTCAAGGCGAGACTTTTTAATCATTGCACCAATCAACTAACTGGAAGAGCTAAGAGAAGTTTTATAATATATTGAAATATATGTAAGCCATATATTAAACTCAATGCTTCAATGCTGGCCCAACTTACAGATATGTTCCCAAATATGCAAATCTTAAGCAAAACAAACGCTATAGCTCGACACATTTGAACACTTCTGCTCGTTACGAGAATTTTTTAAGGTATGGTTTCGTATTTATAAAGAGTTAAAATTGTTGCACATTAGCAGCAAAACCACAATTGAAACAATCTGAATGATTGTTCTTTCTCCTTTCTCTTAAAAAATGATTCATTCAGAAGCTTTTTAAGTATTTTAAGCTAAATAAAATGCATAGTAAAAGCGAATTGATTTGCAAAGCAACGTAGTTTATTTAAAAAGAACTAAGTGTATTTATGACAAAGCTCAAAAAAAAAAAAAAAAAAAAAAAAAGATTTAAAGCCCTTGCAGTTAATTATATTAAGCAAAATATGTTTTTAAACAAGGTAAAAAAATATATTTGGATATTTTTTTTAGAACTTTTATGTATCTTGCTATAAATGCTAATATTATTATAATAGATATAATGCTTGAAAATTAAAAAAAAAATGTAAATGTATATATATACACATTTAAAATATATAAATAAAGTGATTAATATATAAAGTAAAGTTTATAAGTTTCAACAATTTTTATTTTAATGGAATTTTTTTTGGATGGACTTTTAACAGGTTTATATGTGTATATAAGTGTATATAAAAATAATCTAAAAATAATTATAATAAGATTTTATACATGTTCATGAGCATAAAAGATTTCGTACTTTGATCGATCTTATAGTAGCTATAAAATTTATGTAAATACATGTGTCCACTTGGCATTTAAAGCTAAGAAACTCGTTGGCACAAAATCAGACAGACGAACAACTAATATATATTTATGCCAGGGAATTCCGATTTTAGTTAAGTAATATCGAATGTGGTTTATATTACAAATTTGTGTACAGCCGATTTAAAGAAATATATAAGAAATACTTTAAACGCGAATATAGCTGTATCAGATATATACGTTATATATATCAGTATACATTTACGAATATTTATATATGTAAGCGAGTATAGTCGGTAATGCCCGACTAGCAAGTACCTTCTTTTGATTTTTTCTGATGACACTTCAGAAGGTATTTAAACTTAATGGACATGAAAAGGCCTATCGATAATACGTGAAACTGCAAATACGATTCAAGCTATTAAAACATAAACAAATCGAAAAAATAGAGAGAAAGAGTTAGAGCAACTCTTGATTTGAGATATAGATAATTTATATTTAATTACGTATCTATAATTTTGACCTTTGAAATGGCTAATGCATGAAATAATTATATTTAATATCGATTTTAATCGCTAGCTATCGATGATTTAAACCATTATTGTATGCGAGAATCGAAGTACATTTAAAGTTTCCAGAGCATACAGACGGACAAATTAGCCGACCGAAAGAATAGACCAACTATTGCTACTAATAGTCTCGATCAGAAACATAAATACCGTATATATGCATTATAGAGTCGATCAACAGAAACAAAACGAATCCAATACGCCTTCCCATGGGTTATTGCATAGATTTCAACCACAACATTGGGCCTGACTTAACCACATCGAAGCCAAGATAAGTAATATAATTAGATGTAGAGAGCCCTAATCGACTTGTTTGCCCTCCTCCCGATTGCGCTTGAAGGACACGGAATGGATGAGTAGCGGCGGCAGATTGCCACGCAGCATTTGGAGGCGTTTGCTCTTGGGTTGTTCGGTGCGGCGCAGTTCGTCCTTGGAGGAGGATGTCGAACCCACTGATGCCGAGATGGAGGCCAGCGATGTGCTGCTGGGCAGAATTTCGGTGCTTTGAGCTAGGGGCATATTGGATCGCCGGAAGTAACGCGGCATGGAGTAATCATCCTGTGAGGCGCGAGCCGCATTTGCATTTTGTATGGAGTAGAGACTCTGTGATACGCGATACTTTTCTATGGTCGGCGTGTCCTCGTAGTTCTTCGGCAGATTGCTGAAGGATATGGAGGGCACCTCCGGCGTCATGCTAATCTGGCTGCCAGTGCCCGTGATGGCGAATATGTCCGTATCACTGTCCGCCATAAACATCTGCGGCACGCTTTTGGCTGCGCGAAGCGTGCGCTTCGGCGTGGACGAGAGGCTGCTCGTGCTGGGTAAGAGATGGGGATGGCGATCGATGAGATGGGGTCTCAAGATCACCTCGTCTGTGTCCTTCTCATCCTCCTTCTCTTCCTCGGCAATGGGCTCGAACTTTTTCGGCGCCAGTGATTGACTGCCCTCCGGCGAGGACTCCGACGGAGCCAATGTGAACGTAATCCGTTTCTCGGGCGATGGTGCTTCCTCGGCGCTTGGCTCGGCCTTTGTGGAGTCAGTGGCATCGGCCTGTAGACCAGCTGTAATAAAATAAATTATGCAGAATATTAGTTGAAAATATTGACATTCAATTATTATTTATATATATAAATATTATTTTTGGAATATTTAAAACAACTTAAGCTCTAGCCCGAGTAGTTTCAGTTGGGAGTATTTTGGATGCGGATAATTAATATAATTAATATAACTTTATTTTGCTTAGCTTACTTATATTTTTAAATACAATTTTATAATTAATGTAGACAATGAAAAAAATAAAAAATAAAAATAAAAACAATGCTTTGTATAAGAAAAGAACAATCTTAATAATTATCAATGCAATTCTTAAATAAAATTCGTTGCCACATAAAAATAACAATTATAATAATAATTCTAATAATAAATTATACTAATATTGCCAGCAAAGGAAAAATAGTTAAACTTTATTGCTTTAGTTCATTGCTGCATCCAAGGTATTTTCCAGTCAGGCAACTTTTATTTACACATATTACAGGTATTCATAAAGTAGAAAATTAGATGATAATACCAGCAATTAAAGCTATTAAAAATGTTGCAGTGCGGCGACACTGACTGCACAATACTTGTTCAGTCATCAAACTACAGTTGAATCTTTTCCTGGATGGCTCAAATTTCTAATGTCTAGCTTTTCTGCTACTCCAGATGTAGTATTTTCCGATATACCACGTCCTTATAGGCGTGACAGCAGATGATGTCTTAAATTTCAAGTGCGATAGCATGACGGAAATTGAGCAAACACAATAAGTATATTCTTGAACGATTATAAAAATTCAATTGACTATAATAAGCTGTCCACTAATTTATGAAACCATATACTATATTCCTACTTAAAAGCTTATTCATGTGCAATGCAATTATCTTTGCAAAGCCCGTTAATTAGTAGTATAAATCAATGAGTTAGAAGCTTACTAGCATATTATTAAATTTTCGAGTTTTGTGATGAAATGAGAGTAATTAGTGATTCGATACATTTGCAGCATGCTAAAAACTTTTAAAGTCTAGTTTATGAAATTTAATTTAAATTTATGGATAATGACTGGCAGATATTAGTTAGGATCTACTTCAATTCGATTTGAAAGAGTTTTGAAGAATTTAAATGCTCATGGAATGAGTCTTGCATTAAAGCAGACTCTAAAAGTTCTACAAAGAATATATATGTATATGTATATACAAATTATGAGTATTAAACTACTCTTACGCTTCAATCGTCTGTCAAATGCTAAGCAGAGAAATATTTTGGATATGATTCTCCAAATGAAAGGAGATTTGATTTAACTTTTGATTTACTAGTTCGAAATAGAAGAGAATAAGATATAGAAAATTAAAATAACAAATTATATTTACTACATATTACAGGTTATCTCAAAATTCAGAAGTTTGCATATAATTGCAGCATATGTCATCAGAAATTAAATAATCAGAAAAAACCTGAGTTTTTGCTTTTGTTTTTGTAAATATAGAAACAAATATTATATTTATAGGTATAAACATATTATATATGTATGCAGGCAGAAACAAGAGAAGAAAAGAATTCGTATCACCTTATCAGGGCACAAATTTTATTACTAGTTATCAGTAGAGCAAACAAGGCAAGTGAGAGTGCCAGAGTCATGAGTTCCCCGTTAACAGAGGCCCTATATGGTCTTTTAAATGCTCGATATATTATAAAAAATGTATTCTATGTTTTATATTTATATTTTTTGTGTTTATATTAAAATGAATATGGAGTTTGTTAAACTTGGAAGTGTTTATTTCAAAACCTCTTGCGAAAATATAATGGATATTATGTACTTAACTAAGAAGTTAAAAAAATAAAAAACAAAATTAAACATAATAAAAATAATAAAACATATTTCAAAACAATTCACTTGATGAAATCAAATAACATTTCGAAAATGCCTCCTTTGTTATATATTGTATAAATTTTTATTATACCCATTATTACGTACTTTGAATGAGTACAGGGTAAAAAATAAAAACAAAACAAAACTGATTTACGTCCTACACTTATATAGAGCTGATAGGAACATTGCCGATTACGGAAAAAAATTAACCTTATCTGTGCACTTCGTAAGGTAACAGAAGAAATTCTGTTCCCAATCATAATCTTAATCGACATAGTCATTCAATGGACTAGACTATCCAAATAGTATATGATCCAGAGCAAACTCTCGTTATCCACACATTCATCAAGCAATAAATCGTTTCTGAAATCTGACTTATATATACCAAAGCTTATGACTCAAGACCAGCAACATTGTGTACCATTCAGATATCAATAATTCGTCACTGGTTGCCCATATCACGAGAGAACTTTCGAACCCAAAAAAGAAAGTAATACATAATAAAAAGATTTCCGCTGTGTTATACCGTCAACGGAAAATTCGAAGCATATATGTATGTGATATTAATGTGACTCATTGCATTTTCTTGGCTTGATAATCAGATGGTAATAGATAGAAGAATTCTGAATTGCCAATTCGAGTTACAGAATGATTCAGAATCGTCCAAGTTTTTCAATTACCATCTGCGAAATAAGGGTACATAAGCCCAGTTACATCAGGAATTTCTAATTCAATTCCAAATACAATAGAATTAAACCTAAAATATTTCAGATTCATAAAAGGCACAAGTTGAGTTTGTGTTTCGTTTTATGGTTTTTGTGTTTTCATTTTCATTTTTCAGTTTTTCATTAACTTTGATTAACTTTAAACACATCAGCTAATCAGGTTATATATGTATATGCATGTGTGTATGTTAACATTACAAGGTCTAACAAACGAAAAACTTAAAAAGTAACAATACGTGTATAAAATAATACTACTAAATGCTAAACTGTTGGTAAATATTTCCATTGTCGACTTGTCGCTTCTCACTCTTTACTGGCTGGTTATCAATACTTATGGCTAATTAGTAATAATATTAGGTCACATTTTGTGGTGTAGGTACTAAGCGAAAGTTCTTGTTGTCCATGTATGTGTGTCTATATGTGTCTGTGTAAGTGTGTATGTATGTAAGTATCTTTGGCACAAATACTGCTACTGCTACGGCCACAGTTTGGAATTCGTAAGTTGTTATTCTTTTCTTTTCTGTTTTTGGCTCGCTGCTGGGTACTCGCTCTACTCAGCTCAAGTAGAACTTCACCTTGGGCGCACCGCCGGAGATGATGCTACTGCTGCGCGTGGTCTTACCACTAGTTTTGCCACTGGCGCTGCCACTAACAATTTGGGCGTGGCTGGGGCCATCATTACCTTCGAGGCGGCGCAAAAGGCGCTCCTGTTCGCTGAGTCGCGGCGTGGTGGGCGCCTCCTTGTTGGGGGAATGGACGCCGGCCAAGAATGTCTTTGTGCTGATGCGATTCAGCTTAGTCGGCTGATGATCCTGGAAGATCTGCGAGTTGGCAAACACTGCCAATATCTCCGGTCCAAGCATCGGCACATTCGTTTGGGTCACGCGCCGATAATCCTCCTCATGAATTTTGGCGCTGTGCAAAAATACATCAATATTGAGTACAGATAATTGATACAACAGAAAAACTGCCAATACGATTGGCAAATATTAAATTTCCACTGTGCCCTGTGCCCAGTGCCCAGTGCCAGCATTCAGCAACCAAATCAGATTTACAGGCAAATCAATCAAAGCTGACAAATTATTGCGCGGCGAGCTGACGCTTTGTTTGCTGTGTCAATTAGTACCTCATTAGGCCCACTGGCTGGTCGCAAATGGGTTGTGGAACTGTCAATAGATGATTGTTGTCTTGCACCGTGGGCTGAACTCGTCCAATGATGGTGCCACGCTTCTGGGAGGCCAAATACTCCTCATCCTCTTCGGCATTATAGTTGGCTGTAAGGCAATGTAGATAAATAATATTAGAATAACTTTGCTAGCAGCAGAATTATCATCATAATTATCTTTTATCTCTTGCCAAGCTACAACTGAAATCATGTTTTTTTAACTCAACAACAACCTGATTACTATTTAGTTATAATCATTTAGTCACCAATCCATTCAATTATTTTCATAATTAATATGATTTCAATCAAATTTATCAAGTGTTTTGGTTTTCTATACTTTTTTTTGCAAACGTTTAAATGCCAATCACGTCTTGCCTTGCTTCGCTCTATATCTCTCTCCCTCTTACTCTCTTTACCACTCAGTGCTCAGTTGCTCTCTCTTCTTCTCCCTCTCCCTCTCCCTCTCCCACTCCTACTGACACTCAAGACTACATTGTCTACGTCGGTCGCATAACTTTACCGACTCAAATGCGAAATACACACGCACACCAGCACAAAATTATGTGTGTGTGGGTGCGTGTGTGTGCGTACATATACATGGTAACACGTAGGTAAACATGCACCGGCTAGCCCTCAACTGTCCAACTAAAAAAAAAAAGATGCGGCTCCCCATTGAGAGTGAACAAAGTGGTTGGTGAGCTGCAAAATAAAGCTACATAAATGTAAATTGAAACTTACCGATTGATTCATCATAGCAGAATCGTTCCTCAAAGCAGTTCCAGTAACAATCTTCCAGGCAGCTGAAAGGTGTTTGCGTGCGAGTGGGAGCGGGAGGGGCGATGGAATTCAAATGTTAGCAGTAAGTGTATAAAGCGAAAATGAAGTAAAATAAAATACAGAAAAAAGTTAGGGTCCGCTTACTTCTGCAAACAGCGGCACATTTTGGAAAACTCTGGAACAACTTGAGGCGTGGAGTTAACTGTGTTTTATCCCGTTGCGGAATGCTTTCGCTTCGTTGTTAGTTATTTCTGCTGTTGTTGTTGCTGTTGCTGCCGCTGAAATAGCGAAGAAAATTACATTGATGTTTCGTCGTGGAATGCGTGTGATTTATTGGCGCAGCGTGGAGCGTGGAAGCAGCTTGGCGTTTTATCGGCAACTGATGTGGTTGTGGCCAAATGTATCTCGCCGATAGCATAATGGCGCTCTCAACAACCAACAACGAGCGCCATAGAGCGAGAGTGAGAGCGTCAGAGAGCGGAGTTTTCAGCAGTCGCACCTGTGTTGTTTAATCTGACTCAGACTCGGAGCGTTTGCTCAGCTCAGATCGCGATATACAAGAGCTTTGATTACATTTCGTCACCGTGCGCTCATTGCCGATGTGCCGATGTGCCGACGGAAGCACAACTCCGACTCGTGAGTTCGAGTTTTCGGAGAGAGCTTCGTGCTGATCGAATGAGCGCGTCAACGAGATTGCGAACGTGACCAAGAGAAGGCGCACGCGAGCGAAAGAGAAAAAGTGGATGAGTCTGTGTGTGTGTGTGTGTGTGCGTTCACACTGCGTTTCGGAGCTTACACGCGCAAGCACTCAATCGGGTACTCGTCTTGACGCAGTAAAAGCAATAACGTAAATGTGCTCTCTGTCACCGTCATTTCGCCCAAAACGTTTGCACATAGTAGTCGACTATTAAATACTCTGTACTTAAGTAGCAACTCTAACATGTCAACATACATATATCCAGAGTTATTTCAGATAAAAACAATCAATAAGTTAAATATTATATTATTAAATTATTATAATAAAGGTATACAGTATTTGGAATTTCGTCTTTCATTCAGAAAAACTGTTCAATTTAACTTTTATCCAATTTGGCGAAAGGGTATACGAATTGTAAGACATAATAATTCAAAGCTTATTGCCAAATAATTCTGGTTTTGCAATTATCAAAAACTGCCTTAAAATATAATTGCAGTCGATTTTCTTATATATATATATATATATATATATGTATGTATATGTATATATGTATATAAAGATATAATTTTATAAATCCATTTCCACTTGTTAAACTGGTTATATTTATACGTATATCTTTTACATATGTACGTTTGCATGTACATATTTATACATATATACACCCACTTATATCCCAGTATACTGTAGTACATGTAAAGCTGCGATATATTTACGCATTTGTTTTGTTTATTTAACAGTTTAAACGATAAGCAGCCAGGGCAAAGATTCTGTGAATTGGGCCACACATTCGCGCCTCCACGGGTTGTTAAATTGTGAATGGCTTTAAAATTGGTCAACGGGGCCATTGAAAAACTGACAAAACATACTTTTAGGCAGCTATTGATCTGTGAAAATTAAAGCAATCTATAAATATAATTCATTATATGCACAACAACTTAATGGTATAATGGATGATAATCAAATTAACAAAAGTCACAAAAAACAATACGTTTTTGTTGCTGCATAATATTTTTTATATATTTCTTTTGATTATTTCGATAAGCTTTGCTTTCTGAGAATATAATATATTTTCCGTGAAGCTATTAATAAATAACTATTTGGAAGTAAACAAGTTTTGACGTTACCGATACATATTATACGTGAAATTAAAAAATTATTCCATTCCCAACAGTGAGATCTTAAATTGTATCGACGGAAAAACGCTTGCAGTAGTATATCAAATAAATATGTCTATGATCAGTTGATTAAATATTGATACATATTGCAGTCATACGATAATTGAACAATCAAACAATATGTAATTGCGAATCCCACATCAAATCGGTAGAAATTTTTTCATTTACTGTCTCATAAACTAGGCGAATTATAGTTGTGGAATTATGGTTGATGAAGTGAAGTAAAAATATATAATGCATATAAAGCGGAATTGGCTGCATTCGATGGCGTCCGCTAGATCTCGAAGCTCGAGTTTGAGATTCCTGTTTTTTTTTTTTTTTGTTGTTGATTAATAGTAGATAATTTAAAAACTCAAATCATCAAGCTTGAGATCTTAATACTAAATCTTTTCCTGGAACCGCTCATTCGAAGCTCATTCCTAATTAATAAATAAGCGACTGAAGCTTTCTCTTCCACCTGCTTTATCTGATAAGTCCGGCTATACACAGGGATATAATCGCTATTTACAGACGAAGTGAAGACGTGAAGACGTCAGTGAATATTTGCAGAGTTGCAGGTGTTAAGCATCAACAAAGAGCAGAGAGACAAAAACATTGAATCATCGCCCATAAATATCAACTATTTGATATATAACAATCCACAAAACAGGTTTTATTTTCGATCTTTTCAGTTACCGCGAATTTTCTCATCTTCCCAATTCCCAATTGTAAACGAGTTACAGTTCAAAGCTCAGCATTCACGTGAATCCGAGCCGAAAGCACACTGAAGTTCATTAACAGTCATTAACGAGTCGAGCCCGAGAGCATTACGAATCGCATCCATTTCACAAGTTAACCAATTGAAAGATGTTGACAAATGCGGATGCTCTTACACAGCTCACTCGTATACCCGTATTCGTATTCCCGGATAAAAATAGATGCCAGGCAGACCCGAAACCACTCGAACCACAGTGAGCGGCAAATTGAAAGGCGTATCAAACTTATTAAAGCTGACTCGACGCACAAATCGAATTGAAAACTTATATATTCGAAATCGTGTTTTTGACGTATGTATGTGCAATAATTGAATGTCAATCAAAATGTCTTTTATACCCTGAATATGTTCAGGCAGGGCATGCTGCTTTCGAAATATGTAAGTGTATTAGATTTTTGTTTACAGTGTAATATTTTAAGAATTGTTTGTGGTACACCACATAGACGATAGTCAATACATGAAGTTTTCGAAAATCGATGTCAAAATTCAATATTATTTGAAATCTTTTTTTAAGTATTAGAGTAATCACATTTTATATAGCTCAAGTTTTTTAAGCGAATATCTACATTTTCCTAGCAATTTTAATTCAAATATTTATATATGTATATAAGGGTTTCTTAGTTTATATTTAATTTTCGTCAACTCCTTTTATATGCATTGGGTATCTGCTAGTCGATCATTTCCTATTGCAGCAACTTCAGTTGTTTTTGAAATGAAAAGTAGTCACATTTGTAGTCGCTGCAGATTTGTGCTCGTAACGTTTACACAGTTGAACGTACATCGCATTCCAAGCAGCTTTGATTATATAATTTGGAGATGACTAAAAAGGTAGTCGACTAAGAGATACCCGGCATCCAATCGCCTAAGAAAGTCTCTAAATACATGTTAGAAGAATATGAAAAAGGTAAAACTACGATCAAGAAATATTGCAATCCTGAAATTTATTTAATCTATTACTAAGAACTACATTTTTTTATCTCTAGAAATTTCCAGAGTCAAATGCATAGAACAGAGTATTTCTTAGTCAGTTCTAAACGACTTTCTTATTATGGGACTGTTGATCAACTAAGCATGCATCTAATTGCATTGTTCATTAATTAATTGAAGCTTGTCCGATTTCTAAGCGAAATAATCATTCTACTGGCGTTTTGCCTCCGACATTTTTTCATATTTCGTATTCCGATGCGATCAGAAAATGAAACAGCAAAGGGAAAACCGACCAAGCGGATCGAAAGCGAGTTTTGAAAAAAACTTCCGCGCATTTACAATGACAGAGAAGAAAGAAAAAGTTAAAATTAAAAAACAAAAAAAAAAAACAAAAACAAAAAAACAAATTATAAACGGGTTAGAACATGAAAGTCAAGTAGAGCTGACTGCGTAATACTCTGTTTTCTATATTGAGTTTATTGCTATGGAGTTATTGAAGTGAGATAACTCAGATCTTAAGACTGATCTATATTGAACCTTTTGTGTGTTTTATAAGATATAAATTGTAGGTTTCAGGCCTTAAAGTGCATGACAACTTAACAAACCAATACATTCGTTTTCTTTGGCGTACAATGTATGAAACTGACAACAAAAATAAACAACAGCAGCAACAAAACGCAAAATATGCACACATAACAAAAACTCACTCAACCAAAACACGCGATGCTGTGGATTCCGTAAAGCTCAAAGCAACAAAAATATTCAGATGAACATTGGAATACAATAAATATACTACATTATTTTTCTTATAAAAATAATAACTGTAACTTTTCCTATATAATATATAATTATATATTAAAATGATATAATGATATATTACTAAGTTCGTGTAGAAATTAAAAGGAATATACTACTGTTATTGTTTGTTTATTTTGATTTTAATTTTTTGATCATTCTTCAATTTCAAGGAAATTATTTCTTTGGTTGGAAACTTGAAATATATTCTTTTAAATAAATGATATTTATTTATTTTCTTTGCAGGGTATAATCTAGCTGCTCCTTACGACTCACTTACTCTTGTTTAGTATTTATTAAGCTTTTTATCAAACAAGTATTATAAAATGTGAATGGTACTCATAAAAAAATTATCTAAGTTTTCACACTGGAAAATTCCCCACATCTTTGCAATAAACTAAAATCGAGACGCATGTGCTCTTATAGAAATATTTATAATACATTATATATATGTATATGTATATATATTTATACAGTCATATATCAAATATATTATGTATTATACTACTATCGTTGACTCAGCCTCAGTAGCAGACTCAGTAGTTCAAAATGAAGTAAGGCTGCCAGTAGATTATTCGCAGATGCAAATGCAAATTTGATTTGATTTTTATAGAAAGTTTTTCAATCATAAAGCCTGATAAAAATTTAACTAGTTAATATACTACATTGTACATTATTTTTTATTTTATTTAAATATAAGTAAATGATTGGGAAATTAAGTGAAAGTAAGTGAAAAAAAACATATCAATCAAACTCATACAATCATAGCTAATCATATTAAATTTGTCAGTAATAATTGAAATCAATATTTGATAATCATAATGTAAAAATAATTTTGCACTGCATATACAAACATGTCTCTTTATAAAACATCTCTATCTACACTCTTTGATTACTCCTCCTACTCCTCCTTGATTTACATTTATATTGTTACTAGTAACAATCGATATAGGATTCCGAGAAATTCCATATCCCTTTGACATTTTCGAAATAGAGCAATAAAAGCGACATTACTTTTGTACACAAACCGCTAAGAAGTGAGAAA